TTGTTGGGGGCAATATGCTGACTCTGTAAACCGCTTAGAGAGGGCTGAAAGCCCTATGAAGCGGTATATAAGTCTAACTGCTAGTGCTATTGCTAAGAGCTTCTGCAAAGAAGCAGATAATAGTGCAGAAAAGATAGAGGGATACCTTCTAACAGAATCAAAAGCTGACAGTCATGGAGAGGTTTCTGGCCACACGCGGAGGCTGCCTTAACAGAGAAACGGTAAAGATTTCCCTGTACTTCCAGTCATATCTGATGCTAGGCCAGTTAAAGATGCTGAGCTTGTCTGCTGGAAAGCTGACAGCCCGGGTTTGAAACCCGAGTGCCGTGCAACGGGTTGAGCGCCCATTCCTTGCCCCAGCTCCTGCCCGCCTAGCAGTTCGAAAGCATACAAATGCAAGTAGACTAAAACAGAAAATTAAGCTTCAAATGAGACATATTTGAAAGCCACTGCTCACCATCAAGGATTCCTACACTAATTTGACTGAAAATTCTCCTCAGCATCTAGTCGGGAGTGAACTGAAAACAGATTGTTTAAACATCAAGTCTTCCTCAGCAGGGTTCCTGGGTCTGCCTATAAGGGACCATGCAACATTGCTATAAATTGAGTTACTTTCGCCATCTGTCTTCAGTCAAATTTTAAATATGACTGTGGTGGCACAAGTATTTTGCAATCAGCCTGAGCTTTAACTGAATACATCTTCTGGCTGGAATTTATTGAGGTTTATTGAAGAGAACAACATCGTTCCTTTATCTTCATGATTCTGTTTTATATATGTAGAAACAGGGCTTTGATATTTTTCTCACTTCCTAGAAAGGAAAGGAAATTGAACGCTATTCAGATTGTAAAAGCTTGCCTTCTTCCCTTTTAATGGTTAGTGTGACTGAAAAATGAATGTCTCAATGGGAAGTTGTCATTTAAGGAAGCTTTTTTTAAAAAAAGAATAATAAATAATAAACATTATTTTTAAGGAAGGCCAGTCAAATAAGTTTTATAACTGGCAGAAAATACACAGTCGATGGTTGGGTTAAACTATTTCAAATATCACGTAAAAAGCTGGAACTGCATAAATAGATAAATGTTTCGTTTTAAAAAGATTCCGAGTGTGAATTCTTCAAAATGCCCTGCTTCAAAGGCAAAACAGCATTTTGAAGCCTTTTTGGAAGCATCTCAAGCTTGAAACAAGTGGCGCTCCAAATTTGAAGCATGTTGTTTCCAAATTCAAAACGCTTCCAAAACGCTCAGGGCAGACTGTTTTGCATTTTAAAAATAAATAAAACAGCAACAAATTCTGAAACACCTCTGGTGAAATGTGATGAATTAAAGGTTTTGCAGGATCCTATGTACAAACATTTAAAAAGAAACCAGAAAGGGGGAAGATTTGCAGCTTGAATTTCTTTCTGATACATTAAAAAAAACCCAAACCCTAGAAGGATGCAAATATTGTTACAAGAGTAATTTTCCTCCTTTTTCCTATTAAAAAAGGTGATTGATTTACATGTTGCCCTGGGCTTTGGTTATCCTAAAGAATGGGCTTTGGTACTTGATTCATTTCATAAGAATGGCCGCTACTTTTTCATAAAATCACAAGAATAAACCTTGACTAATTATCAGTTATGACTTATACATATCTTTCAGCAAAAAGACAGTTGTATCAACACATCCTGATGGGAAATGTTGATTTACTGCTACCAACCGCAGCTCAAAGCTAGAGATAAGGAAAATTTATCTAGCAATGTTATCTACTAACTTAAACTATAGAGCATTGGTTCAGATGCTCATTCCCCCCCCCCATTCTTTAAAGGAGATGAGGAACTGCCTTTATAGCACAGTGAGATTAATGTGAGATGTCAAGTTTATATTAATGCAGGAGCCCACCACTAATGTGAAAATAGAAAAGTGTTCTTGATCTTATTGCAGAGACATTCTGAAATATAAGGTCTGACCAGAGGAAGCTGAAGATTGAAATAATTTTATTTAAGTCACCAGCATTATAGCAATAGCAGTTAGACTTATATACCGCTTCATAGGGCTTTCAGCCCTCTCTAAGCGGTTTACAGAGTCAGCATATTGCCCCCAACAANAGCCTGAAGAGTGGTGAGGGTCCGAATCTCCATGGGGAGATCGTTCCAGAGGGCCGGAGCAGCCACAGAGAAGGCCCTCAAGGAGTTGTTATCTCCTTGTTGTTTGTTTAAAACTGGTTGCAAACACTGCAGCTTCAGAGCATGGGTACCTTGAAGGATTTCCAACCGTGATCTTTTTCCAGATGAATGCCAAAAAAAGTGCCAACGATGAACTCTTACCTGAGCCACTTCTTCAAAGTCTTCGTGGCGCTTCTGTAGCGCTCTGGCTCGATGCAAAGATTTCCCAACTCCTGTATGCTTACTAAGGAAAGCTTCTCCATGATTTTCGATCCAATCCAGAACCTGCAAGAGAGATCATCGTGAACGAAATCCAATTGTATATTTGTGTTTCTTCTAATGGGTTCTGCTGTTGTGGGACATAACAGGATAAATCAACTGAAGCTATCATTCATTATTTTCAGTCCAGTAGTTCAGACACCCAGACTGGTGGCAATTTCTCTCCCAGAGTTTGTAATGATGAAAAGGTAAGTTCTCCATTTATTGCTGAGTTTGTAAACTCAGTAATCAAGTTGTCTGCTATGGGGATATGCGGCCTGCTAATGGAAAAAGCATCCTTTTGAAATCAGCAAAAGTCCAGCTACTCCAGCAATCATTTATCACAGTCAGAAAAAATTTGGAAAACTAAATTAAATTATCCTGAGAAAAAAAACACTCCCCGATCTCAAATACGGACACATGGAGCTGCCTCTAAATTCTACATTGCTTTAAGAGATTAATTTTCCATGCCATTATCCAATAGAATGTGCATACAGGAATGTCACCAATATCTTCTGTAAACCACAGATTCTAGGTCCTATCTGCAAAATTCCTTGGCAGACAAATTCATACGGAAGAGTCCCCGAGGACACGATGTTTGAAAAAAATCACTGAACTGAAATGCAATTTTACCCTGACCCAAGGAGCTTGCCCCTTCGTGCTTAACCATAAAACGCAAGATTTCAATTGAACCATCTGGCAAAAATTTCTTTCCACTCACTTTCTTTCCATTCCATTCAAGTCCCAATGATTTTAGCAATCAGAATCTATTCAGTAACTAAACATTCCGGGAACTGAAGCCAACATATACATCCCTATACTGTGGCAATTAAAGCAGTAACTGAAACAAGATGTTCCCTATTCTGCTAATTCTCTACAGATACATCATACCAGCAAGTATTCGTACAACTAAGGGGCTCTCCCTTGAATATGAAGCCTTAATTCAGCTTATACAAGAAATGTTTGGGGGGGATGGCATGTCCTGTACCAGTCAACCTTCATCCTGGACCCTGCAGAGGGAATCTTGAGGTTTAGGTTATTCGATTTATATGCCGCCCTTCTCACAAGGACTCAGGGTGGGGTACAACATTAAAAGAAACACATAATACAAAAGTTAAAAAGAAATTAAATAGGATATCCCCAAACCCAATTAAAATTGACAATGACACTTTTTTAAAAAAAGAATTCAAATTAACAGTAATCAATAATTTGTTTTGTTTTGTTCAAAGTAAAGTTACTTCTCTACTTTATAAATCACCATTACTGTGGAACCGGTGGGCGGTTAGAAATTTTTACTACTAACAGAGATACAAAAGTGGGCGGTAGGTATAAAAAGGTTGACTACCTCTGCCTTAGACAATTTCAGTGAATCCAGAATAGAGCCAGAAGGGACCTTGGAGGCC